TAATGTAAATAACATAGCAATGGGGCATTTTCAAAAGGCAAAAAAAAAACTGTAAATTGGCTGTTACGTAAATATTGATGTTTACATGCATTTTTAATCAACATATCTTATAAAGGATTATGTAATCTAGTTTTAAAGCATGTGACCTTCCTGTCACGACAGTAGCTGCTTAAATATTGTTTACTCATTGTGCTATTTTTTACAGCCAAAATGTCGTGTAAAAGAGATATAAGATAGTCCAATAAGAAATAATTGATTGTAAGAGTTACTGTAATAAAAGGATTTTCCTGATATCGTAATGGAACTTTATAATGCAAAACATGACATGATACAGACGAAAATCAATTTTAAAATCAGAAAATAGCATTTCAAATACTTCTTTTGGACTATTTAGTAACTCCCAATAAATATGTGTTGTTTAAATTACAATTTAAAAATGAACAGCTGTTTCATTAAAAAGTGTTATCCACATGACCAAAATGTAAACAAATCTGTGGAGGGATCTTTAAAGGCTTCTGGAACAGAGCCCTAAGAGAATTCACTTAGTTTTTCTTTTGATAATTGATCTACAGACCAAGACCTTTCTTTTGACACCTCTACCAAGTTTCTACGCCAATCCGTTCTCTCAAATTAGTGGAGACAAAGTTTCCAATTAAATATTTAGATTCCCCCATGTTAATCTTATGGGAGAAAACCCAACTTTGATGGAATATCCTGCCCAAACTAATAAAGATTTCAAAAAACTAAAAACACTTTGCAAAACTACAGATCAGGGCAATTTTTTTGACACTTTAATCATCAAAATCGGTCCAAAAATGTGGGAGGAGTTCTGTTCACAAAAATCGGCTTAGCGTATTATATATATACTAGGGGAAACCCGTCGAAATCGACGGTTACTTTCAAGGCTTACGTTAATTCATCTAACTGCGATGAATTGGGTGAAATATACATATTTTGAGCATTTAACATTGTTCAAAGAGTAAGTGTAAAAACAATAACAATATTGCGTTAGTTGCCAAATTTGGTTGTTCATTCAATGATTAAAATATTTCCTATTCTGTACGTCATCGGAGTTATTATTAGTATGTTATATGGTATCTCTTCCTTTGGTAGAACCTTTAAATAGTATTTAAATCGTATTGGTGGATCTTGTAGTTAAACACTTCCGCGACTTCATCAGTGTTTGAGAAAAAATATATGTTTGTTGAGAAGACACGTTCTAACTTCAAAGGGAGGTATATCCGTTACAGTGTAAGTTTGATTTTCCTTCGTCACGTCGCGTCAGTTCATATCGTACTTCTGTGCCAATGAATGAACCCTCTAGCATAGTTTTGAGAAATTGACTGTGGGGTTACTGATAAAGCTGCTGAAATTCCTTGACATGGGGGATGTCATTTAGTTGTCTCGGCCTCGGCCTTATCAATAACATAAAGTTGTCAATATAATCTCTCTACGGAATGTTAGGTGTAGTGGAATACATGAAGTAAAGTTGGCTTTTATTCTTGAACTGTTAGGGGCCTCCTAGTTCATATGATCTTGGCGGCTTCATTGGCAATAAATAATGCAAATGACATAGCAATTGAACTTTTCCAAAAAGCAAAAATACTGTAAAATGGCTGTTACGTATATATTGACGTTTACATATTGTTAATCAACGTATATGATAAATACTTTAATCCTTTAATACGTTTTTTTTTTATGGCGATCATTCATAGTAGGTAAGCCAAGTATGAATGGAGATGAGTGTAGGATGAGTGGCGCGATCTTGAAGTCTTGTTAGTTACTAAGGCCGACATTCCTTAGATACAGTTGTTAATTAATAGCCCATACAGCGAATGGCAACCAAGGGATCTACAGTTTATAGTTGAATTGGATTGGAACCAAATTTTTTTGCATTGGTATTTATGAATTGGTATAATTATCAGGATAGCACTGCGGGTAGTCGTAGTACTCACTCGTGCGGACGTTAATCCACACCAGGGAGTATCGCATCCACAGTGCATTCCTATAAATATCCACAATTCGTGACCTCCTAGTAGCTGGATTACAGGACGACGCCACCCGTCCCAGTCAAAGGATTATTTGATCTAGTTTAAAAGGAATATGACCTTTCTGTCATGACAGTAGCTGCTTAAATAGTATTTTCTCTTTGTACCATATTTTACAGCGAAAATGTCGTGTTATTTTCGATAATGTTACTAATTCAGGGCGCCAAAGTCCGTAATATAGGCAGGTGCAAATTATTTGTCAAGATAGGTACTATTTTAGGCAATGTTTCTAAGTTTGGATTTTATTAGACACAATAAGAGCAGATATTTCTACATAAATATTTGATATTTTGTAGAATAATATGATAAAACTAGCTGACCCGGCGAACTTCGTATCGCCTAAGTTATAGGTTTCCCCTAAGACAGACCGATGGAAAGAAAGTACCGTTACGTTTAATTTTCAAGATGATCTCGTTCGCATCGCTCAATCACGTCCTGGTTGAAGTTCGTTCGCTACGCTCACTCACCTTTGGGTTGGAGCTCGTTCGCTACCCTTACTCACCTTTAGGTTGGAGCTCGTTCGCTGCGCTCACTTGCCTTCAGGTTAGCTCGTTCGCTACGCTCACTCGCCTCCAGGTTGAAGTTCGTTCGCTACGCTCACTCACCTTTTGGTTGCAAATTAGCTGTTGTCATAAATGTAAAAGAAATAATAGTGCTGCACCCTGTTGGTAATCCTTGTAACTTTAATGCTATTGAACATCATAGAACAGAACCAACTTGTTTAATTGAAACAGCTGTTAAGATTCATTAATTCCATTTCTCATAAGGTTAACATGGGAAACTCCAGAGCCACTGGGGCGGAGCCCTTTTAAGAATTTCGAAACGGGAAATAGTTTACGTCCGATTCGCATACCTACAGAATTTACACACCAAATTTCATAACGATCGGTGAAATCGTTCCGGAGGAGTTTGCAGACAAACACTGTGACACGAGAATTTTATATATTAGATGTAGGCAAAAGTGGCGAAAAAGGCACATACCAACCCGTACAATAGATATAAGATAGTTCAATAAGATATAATTTAAGAATTGCTGTGATAAAAGGATTTTCCACTGATTTCGTAATGGAACGTTATATTGCAAAACATGGCATGATAAAGAAGAAAATCAATTTTAAAATCAGAAAATAACATTGCAAATACTTATTTGGTAGAATTCAACTCCCAATAAATATGTGTTGTTTGAAATACAATTTAAAAATGAACAGCTGTTTCATTAAAAAGTATTATTCTCATGGCCAAAATGTAAACAACTCTGTGGAGGGATCTTTAAAGGCTTCTGGGGCAGAGTCCTAAGGGATTTTGCTTAGTTTTTCTTTTCATAACTCATCTACAGACCAAGACCTTTCTTTGGACACCTCTACCAAGTTTCTACGCCCAACCGTTCTCTCAAATTAGTGGGGACAAAGTTTCCAATCAAATATTTAGATTCCCCCATGTTAATCTTATGGGAGAAACTCCAACTTTGATGGCCTGTGGGGCAAAGCCCGAGGATTTTTACTACATGAATTGGTGAAAGGGGGTGTCTACACAAAAAATATTTTATTTTGACACGTCGTTTGTAAAAATCCGTCCATTATTAACGGAGGGGTAGTGTTTTCAAGAAATCGCCTTCACGTATTATATATAAGGACTAGCTGACCCAGCGAACTTCGTATCGCCTAAGTTATAGGTTTCCCCTAAGACAGACCGACCCGGCAGACGTTGTCTTGCCTTTGACTATTTATAATTTAAGTACCGTTACGTTTAATTTTCAAAATGATCTCGTTCGCATCGCTCAATCACGTCCTGGTTGAAGTTCGTTCGCTACGCTCACTCACCTTTGGGTTGGAGCTCGTTCGCTACGCTCACTCACCTTTAGGTTGGAGCTCGTTCGCTGCGCTCACTTGCCTTCAGGTTAGCTCGTTCGCTACGCTAACTCGCCTCCAGGTTGAAGTTCGTTCGCTACGCTCACTCACCTTTGGGTTGGAGCTCGTTCGCTACGCTCACTCACCTTTAGGTTGGAGCTCGTTCGCTGCGCTCACTTGCCTTCAGGTTAGCTCGTTCGCTACGCAAACTCGCCTCCAGGTTGAAGTTCGTTCGCTACGCTCACTCACCTTTTGGTTGCAGATTAGCTGTTGTCATAAATGTAAAAGAAATAATAGTGCTGCACCCTGTTGGTAATCCTTGTAACTTTAATGGTATTGAACATCATAGAACAGAACCAACTTGTTTAATTGAAACAGCTGTTAAGATTCATTAATTCCATTTCTCATAAGGTTAACATGGGAAACTCCAGAGCCACTGGGGCGGAGCCCTTTTAAGAATTTCAAAACGGGAAATAGTTTACGTCCGATTCGCATACCTACAGAATTTACACACCAAATTTCATAACGATCGGTGAAGTCGTTCCGGAGGAGTTTGCAGACAAACACTGTGACACGAGAATTTTATATATTAGATATATATATAATAGAAGTGATTTAACAATGGACTAATTTAATAGTAATTTGTTAGTTGAAAACAAAACATCAAGAATGAAGATCCCTCTCTCTCTCTCTCTTTTGTAATGTTAATCTCTTTTAAAGCTCTGTGAAATTATTGAAAGTTTATTTGTTAATATTAAAACTATTTGTCAATTGTATCTTCAAGTGCTGGTAATTGGTGTTATAAAGAATTAAACTCCGCTTATGCAACAAATACAGTCCACTCCATCCACTCCACACTAGCTACCGAAATTCTACAGATTGAAATTCCTTTTTATGGTCCTTATAATTCTAAACAAAATAGGACATCCCTGTAAAAATTACGGTTCAAAAGCTAATGAAACTTTTGTGATTTTACCTATTAAATATCATAGTGTTACTCTCATCACTTACACATGATAAAGATTGTTGACAAGCTAATGGGAGAAAGTAAGTGTCAGATTGCTGATACTGTTTATTTGGTTCTCTTATTCATTGCTATGCCCAGGTTCCAGACGGGAGGATCCATCTTGGCAGGACGGTTGGCTCTGGAGCGGGGTTGGGCCATCAACATTGGAGGAGGGTTCCATCACTGCAGCAGAGACAAGGGCGGAGGCTTCTGTGCATATGCTGATATCACATTGTTGGTGAAACACTTGTTTAAGTATGAGCCTCAACGTGTACGGACGGCAATGATCGTTGACTTGGATGCTCATCAGGTTAGTGTGAATTTGTCTTGTTAGCAAAATTCCCTATAGGGAAGTAGCACGGTAAGACCTAGTCCCAGGACCGAATTACTTTTTCATTTTGATGTTCCCAGAGGCTAAAAAAACCATTCATTAAAAATTATATATATATATATATATATATATATATGTGTCCGTGTAATTTTTGAGTATTTTTTTTCAGATTTTGATGAAATATTGTTTAAAGGTGTAAGGCGGGATAAACTTGAATGAGTTCGCAAACCAGCATGATCGGGCCATGGGAACAAGGGTTTTACAGGGGGTTTTATGGGGTTAAAATTGGTTTTTCTCATTTTTGACCCTCAAAACATAAAATTTCTCAATTTTTCTCTATACCCTCTTAAAGAGTTTAAAAAACCAAATAATTTAGTATATAAACGTGTTTTTGTACGGTTATTGATAACAGAGAAAATTAAAAAAATTTAAATTTAAAATTCCTATTGGAGAATATTGTAAAATTTTGTAGTTTGCTTGTTTATGGATATATTTTGATAAAACTTGGCAAATTTATTTATCTTATACCAAGCTACAGTAAACCCTCGTTAATCCGGACCCCATTAATACGGACTTCGCTTAATCCGGACAGCCATTGGATCGCAGTTTTAATGCGCAGAATGCTGATTAGTAGCACGCGATCGTCACTGTACGACTGCGCCCGGCGATGTGAGTGTGCCGAGTGCGGGCGGATGGTGGAGGGGGCAGTCACAGGCAAGGCGTACGTGCCGTTGCCATGGTTACTGTCACAGCGCAAGGCGTACGTGCCGTTGCCATGGATACTGTCAGCCAATAGTAGCTCAGTCACACGATTGTGTTCCTCCTGCTCGTGTCAGGCCGTCAGTTGCTCCACAGAGGTCACAGAGGTAGCACTGCTGTGTACTGTTTCTAACCATTACGTTTTAGTTGCGTTGTTACGAGTTTTTGTAAATGTGCGTGGGTTTGTGTGTACACTAATGTGAACTGTATTTGAGGTGTGTTAATGGAAGATTAGAAATGTCTTTAAGTAAACCAGTGGATTGTAAAAAACGAAAACACGTGTCTCTGTCTCTTAATGATAAATTGAAAATTATAGAAAAACTTGAAGATGGAGCTACTGTTTCAAGCATTTGTTCAGAATATAAAATAGCGAAACAGACAGTCTCAGACATAAGAAAGAAAAAGGACAACCTGAGAAAATTTGTTCTTAAGTTTAATGTTGAAAAAGAGGCAAGTTCAGTGAAAAAAATGCGTCTTCCTTCAGATCCATCCCTGGACGATGCTGTTTATAAATGGTTTTGCCAACTTCGTTCTTCTGGAATGACTGTACGAGGGATTGAAATTCAAGCTGCTGCAGAAAGATTAGCTAAACAGTTAAACATTACAGGCTTTAAAGCTAGTTCAGGATGGCTGTTCAGGTTCAGAAGGCGCCATAACATCACAAACAAAAAAGTCTGTGGAGAAAGTCTCAGTGCAAATGTTGATGAAGTTGAGCCATTCAGAATTGAATTGGATGAACTTTTAAAAACAGGACAAATACAGCTGTCACAACTCTACAATTATGATGAGACTGGGTTGTATTGGAGAGCATTACCCGACACAACTCAAGCCTCTAAAGCTGAAAAAAACACACCGGGAAGAAAGATTAGTAAGGATAGAGTTTCTGCATTGTTATGTGCAAACGCTGATGGAAGTCACATGCTGAAACCTGTGATTGTGGGTAAAAGTAAACAGCCTCGGGCTATAAAGAATGTAATGGACAAGCTACCAGTGCACTACTTCAGTTCAAAAAGTGCCTGGTTTACTTCAGACATCACAATGGAGTGGTTCCACAAAAAGGCAGTGCCAGAAATTATAAAACATCAAACGGAAGTTTTAAAAATTCCTAAAGATGAAGTGAAGGCCCTAGTTTTACTTGACAACTGTCCTGCTCATCCATCAGTAGAAAAAATGACAAGTGAGGACGGAAAGATTAAATGTATGTTTTTGCCAGCCAACACTACATCATTAATCCAGCCTATGGATCAAGGCGTTATCTACGCAGTTAAACGCCTATACAAAAAGAAGCTTTTGCATGAAATTTTGGAAGTCGAGGAACCAGCTGAAGGAGAAGAAGACAGAAGAGGTGAAAAGACATTGCAGAATCTGAAAGAGTACAACATCAGATCGATGATCTTCAATTTTGCAGCGGCTGTGAGAGAGCTGAAGCCATCAACGATAGTAAACTCGTGGAAGAAGCTTCTCACTAATAAAGATGATGAGCCGGACACCGCTGGGTTGGAAACTGAAGATTTTCACAACGCTCTTATCAATGGTGGTGAGCGTGCAGTTACCCTAGATGACATTGAGCTGTGGTTGGAAGAAGATGATCAAGATCCAGGCCACCACATTTTGACAGAAGAGGAAATTGCTGAAAGCGTAACAGTGGCAGAAGAAGATGACGACGACGACGATGAAGCAGATGACATAAATCCCAAGCCTAAACTAAGTGAAGTGAAAGATCACATTGATTGTGTCATTAAATATGTTTCCGAAAGTAGCAATGAGCAGGTCTCTGGATATTATGAACATTTAAGACATTTGCGCCATCTCATTGTACAAGAAATTAACACAAAAGGAAGGCAAATGAAGATCAACTCCTTCTTCAAACCAGTGAAACCAGTTCAGTCACGTGAGGACGAACCTCAACCCTCATGTTCAAAGTAATTTTGTCTTTTTTCGTTGTCTCATTTTTTGTATGGACGTAAGTAAATACCAAGTGTATATTTTTGTTCAAATGTAACTACTGTATGTACTGTTTGTACAATATGTATTTTTATATTCAGAATATACATAAAGTTTATCTGCAAAAGGTGTTTCATTATATACCAGGGGTACCCAAAAATCACTGTCTTTCTTCGTTTACGATTATTTGTTTTAATCCGGACTTTCGTTAATCCGGACGACTTGGAGCCCCAATAAGTCCGGTTTAATGAGGGTTTACTGTATTAATATTTTATTAAAAACACACATTATTTATTAATTTCCTTGTAACAGCAAACCTAGGTACTCGTTAAACCTAATGTTAATTAAATTTAATTGAAAATTAATTCAGACATATGGAAATTCGCTTAGTTGGCAGGTTTGCTGCGGCGGGGGTATTTTAACTTTTTACTACAATAAATTAAGTCTTTTGAATGAGTAATCTTCTGTTTGAATTGTGAACTGGGAAAGGATAAAATAGTTACAGTAGACCCTCTCTTAACCGACCTCGTATTAACCGATAATCGGATTATCCGCCTTCCATCGTAAAATATCACAGTTTGTTTTAACCGACCTTGCTTTGAGAGCAGTTCGGCTTAACCGCCGCTTTCTAGGAATCTCGGCATTTCCGCTCCCATACTGGGCGATGAGAACCGAACCATACGCTTATCTCCACAGGATGTGACTAAGAATAAATTATTTTGCATTGATCACAAAAAAATATAGCATATTGTCAGTTTGTCATCATCGTTTAGTGCGAGCACATCCTGATCTGATTTGTTATCTGTGCGGCAAATTTATAAAATCGTAAAGTGCGTTACGATTTTGAGAACTGATTATCTTATCGCTAGAGTAAACAAACAATGCAACTTGTATGGAGGGCAGGGAAGGGGGGTTGGAACTAAAGTTATTAAAATAGGAATTTTTATTGACTCTTGCCTAGTACTATAATCTATTCCACTTAAAGTAGGCATATTTGACTTAACGGTGTTTAGTGTTTATTTATGACTTTTCTATCAATAGGAAAAAAAGGAGATAAGAGTAGTTTATTTTATAAATAATAGAAGTATGACTTCAAAATAATGATTATATAATTCAAAATTAATAACACTTAATTATGTTATGATTTTAGGGATTGCCCGTTTTAACCGACCTTTTGAGCTATCCGACCTAGGTCCGGTCCCATTAGGGTCGGTTAAGAGGGGGTCTACTGTAATAGGGAGAGTAGAAAAAGTTAAATAGGTGTAATATGATTTAAGCAAGAGAGGAAAGAGCATTTATAGGAAAGTGGAGTTGATGGTGATAAAGGATAGGAAACTGAGACAAAGGGAATGGATGAAATGAAGGAAGGAGTGAAATGGCAGATGGTGTAGAAAGAGGAATGTAGAAGTGTAGGAGAAGACAAATAGTATAATTTTTCTATTTACTCAAACCTTTTGGTTGTAATAAAAATCTATCAACAATTTGTGTAACAAAAAAAGTAATAACTGCAGTAGGGGTGCTTCTAGGTAGCTCTTCACTGGAACAACTGCTTGAAGAAGCAAGGGAGGGAGGGTCGGACCACAGGTAGCCAAGGGTCTAGGCACCAAGTTTCTTATAAACAGTGAAATCACAACGTGGCATGTAACCTGTTTAGCGTAGACATTGAATCAACAAACTTAAACTATCTTTTTATTACAACTTGGTAAATGTGTCCAGTAATGTAAGTCAGTGTAGTGTAGTATTGGCTGGTGATCAAAGGTGGTGGGAGGGCTCTGTATACAAAAGATAGCATACTATCACAAAAGTTGATCAAAGAATCAACATAAATTGTATAACTCAATTGTTGAATATATTTGTTGGCAACTGTCATTGTATTTAATTTAAATTTCTGTAAACCCATATTGCGGTATTGCATAAACATAAATCGGTAACACAAAAACATATTGATATTTGAATGATATTATAGTAAAATATAAGGCCTACCACTAACCAGATTGGATGTACGTGATATCCATTGAATAAAAGTTTACAATTAGTTAGTATTTCACTCAACAGTCAGCCTGCATCAGTTCAGTACATTACTATTTTCTCAGGGGAACGGCCATGAAAGGGACTTCCTGGGCAAGGAAGATAAAGTGTTCATCATGGATGTTTACAACAGTTCCATCTACCCCAAGGATCGGGAAGCCGAAGCAGCTATCCGGTGCAAGGTCAAGATTGCTCCTTTCATCGAGGACAGAGAATATCTCGCTCTAGTCCACAGGTCACTTGACTCATCAACATGTATAACACTTCAAATGTTTATTAAAAAAGGTTCAAATACCTGCTATTAAGCAATCCAAATTTGTTGTTAGAACAACTAGTTTCGGTGTCTGTGTGACACCATCATCAGGCTACTAGTTACATAACTAATAGTTTCATACACCGATTGCTTACAATTCCAATGAATGAACAGGACTACAACAAAGAAGTAATTACAATAAAACATATAGCCGTATCAAATGGTTATCCAAGTAGTATTGTGGATAAACTCATCTACAAACATAAAAATAAAACAGGAACTAATAAACAGAACACTTTCATCTCTGCAAAATTTGGCACCTTTATGAGCAATAAATATAAAAATCTCATGGCAAAAAACAAAATCACAGTTTCCTTCAGAACAGAAAACAAGCTTGGTTCATTGTTAAAGGAACGCAGTCCCACGATGACGCAATCTTATGATAAAACTGGCGTTTACAAGATCAATTGCACCGATTGTACGAAATATTACATCGGCCAAACAGCACGTTCCTTTACAAAACGTTTCAAAGAGCATATTCCAAAAGCGTCAACAGCCCACCAAACATCATCTTTTGCCAAACATTTAATATCCCAAGGCCACAATTATACCAACATTAGCAGCAATATGGATATTCTACATTTTTGTAAAGACAGATATAAACTTAACACATTGGAAGAGTTTGAGATATATAAGGCAGTAAAATCCGACCACCATAATGTACTAAATGACTAACAATTTTTCTCGTCTAATTTTATGTATGACACTGCCATCGGTTTACTGGAGAGGGGAGGTGTGATTGACAGGACGCAACCTGGGATGAGAAGATAACGGAAGTACACCACTGCACTGACCACCCGCAGTCTGGACTCAAACTCCGCCGGGTTAGCGTCGTCTGTTTTCTTAACTGATCAGTTACCATAAATGTCTCGTGTTCGTGTTTGTGTCGTCTGTAAATGTTTATTTATTTTCGTGTAAATATGACGCTCTTCGTATGAAGAAAGAAAACTGTCCTTGTACAGCCTGATGATGGTGTCACACAGACACCGAAACTAGTTGTTCTAACAACAAATTTGGATTGCTTAATAACAGGTATTTGAACCTCTTAATATTATTTGGCAATCCGGAGGCTAACAACTACAATCAAATGTTTAGTTAGTTAACTTTGAATTATCTCAAAATAATCAGCAGTTCAATGACAGAGTTTATGCCTTAAGCAGAGTCTAGACAGCTCAATTCAAACTTTCTTAATTCAGAAAACCTCTTTAAATAGGATTACCCTCTCGGTCTATAAAACCATAGATTAAACATACTCCCCAATAGATTTACCATGCTTATCGGCATCAAATATTTATTTGCCATTAGGTCTACAAAGGTTAATGGATCAGCTAAAGACAGTTCTGAGTTTCAATATCTTACTAATATTATAAATCTGAAAGTTTGTGAGTTTGTGTGTATGTTTGTGTGTATGTTTGTGTGTGTGTTTGTGTGTGTGTTTGTTGCTCAATCACGCATAAACTACTGGACGGATTAAGCTGAAATTTGGCATGATGATAGCTCACATTCCCGATTAACATCAAAGCATATTCTTATCTCAAAAACCCTTTCGGGCTCCGCCCCAGTGGCTCTGTAGTTCCCCATGTTAATCTTATGATTTTTCATATTTAAAAGGAATTAATGAATCTTAACAGCTGTTTCAATTAAACAAGTTGGTTCTGTTCTATGATGTGCAATAGCATAATAGTTACAAGGATTACCAACAGGGTGCAGCACTATTATTTTTTTTTAATTTATGACAACAGCTAATTTCCAACCAAAAGGTGAGTGAGCGTAGCGAACGAACTTCAACCTGGAGGCGAGTTAGCGTAGCGAACGAGCTAACCTGAAGGCAAGTGAGCGAAGCGAACGAGCTCCAACCTAAAGGTGAGTGAGCGTAGCGAACGAACTTTAACCAGGACGTGAATGAGCCATGTGAATACTTATGAAGTTAAACGGGGCGAAGCCCGCGGGTACAGCTAGTTTGTACATAATTGAGAAAAACACAATTTTTAAAGTAGAATTTTTGTTTAAAAAACCATGGTTCCAACTAACACACTGACAAAGTTTGAGAAACAGCACCAAGAAGAATTGGTGCAAGGCCTAATGCCGCAACCCAGGTATGGTCAAAGGCAGAGCAGTATGAGAAGTAGTCTCCCTCACCAGGAGACAGAACTGCAGCTTGAGTGTTCAAATCCTGTCTCCGTTAGGACAGAGTCTGTGTAGATGACTAGCCTGGAGACTGACGGGATAGGTGGACACTCTTTTTAAGTTCCTCCTCAAATCAGAAATTTTGCTTCTTTCTGCTATTCCTTACTGTGTGTACGTCCATTGTTTTTTTCTAAATTAATTTAAAACTAGTGTACCTGTTGCTCGAATTCGAGCAATTGCGAAGCATTACAGGCGACTCACGAAGATTATGGAAATACTCACGATCTACGCAACAGTTAGATATAATCAAAAACTTTTGTAAATATCTTATCTTTTCTCAAAAAGCTGATCTTGTTTTTTAGTGTTTCTAAAAAATTTTCCCTCTCATAGTTGCATTAGGTTGTCTATAATAACGATTATTAATTAAAAAAAACATTATTTCATTTCTTCTACTTGGTTGTGTTTTATGACTTTCTATGTTTCCATTGTTTGCAAATCGGTTATTTCAATGATTGCTCAAGAAATGTAGCATATTGTTAATTCAGTTTTATTTTTAGTCTACCTATATCAAATTGTACAGGATTTCTCGCTGTTTTCCATTGTAATAATTTCACCAACCCAAGTTTCGTCTACAGATGCAATACGCCAAAGAATATCACCTACGTACAATCTCCTAGAAGTGGTAAAAAAAGGCAGAAACCAAGCCATACAATGATATAAGTTAACTCCATAAGAAATAATTTTAAGAGTTACTGTGATATTAGGATTTTCCACTGATTTGATAATAGAACATTATCGATTTTAAAATCAGAAAAACCCATTGCAAAAACTGTACTTCATTTTGAAAAATTCAATAAATCACTATTTAAATATTAACAGCTGTTTCATTAAACAGTAGTGTATTATGCATATGGTAAACAAATTTGAAGAGGCAACTTTAAAGGCTTCTGGGGCAGAGCCCCAAGGGAATTTACCTCGTTCCTCTTTTGATGGCTCATCTATAGACCAAGACCTTTCTTTAGAGACCCCTACCAAGTTTCTACGCCCAGCCGTTCTCTCAAATTAGCTGGGACAAAAGCCCAGTTTTTTCTCCATAAGAATAACATGGGATGGGAATTCAAAGGCCACTGGGGCAGAGCCCCAAGGGAATTTACCACGTTTCTCTTTTGATGGCTCATCTACAGACCAAGACCTTTCTTTAGACACCTCTACCGAGTTTCTACGCCCAGCATTTCTCTCAATTTAGCTATGACAAAGAAAAACAGTTTCAAATTAATATATAGATTATTTTTAGCCTACCTATATCAAATTGTCCAGGATTTCTCGCTGTTTTCCATTGTAATAATTTCACCAATCCAAGTTTCGTCTGCAGATGCAATATGCCAAAGAATATCACCTACGTACAATCTCCTAGAAGTGGTAAAAAAAGGCAGAAACCAAGTCATACAATGATATAAGTTAACTCCATAAGAAATAATTTTAAGAGCTACTGTGATATTAGGATTTTCACTGATTTGATAATAGAACATTATATTGCAAAACATGACACGATGCAGAATAAAATCGATTTTAAAATCAGAAAAACCCATTGCAAAAACTGTACTATTTTTTAAAAAATTCAATAAATCACTATTTAAATATTAACAGCTGTTTCATTAAACAGTAGTGTAGAATTATGCATATGGTAAACAAATTTGAAGAGGCAACTTTAAAGGCTTCTGGGGCAGAGCCCCAAGGGAATTTACCTCGTTCCTCTTTTGATGGCTCATCTATAGACCAAGACCTTTCTTTAGAGACCCCTACCAAGTTTCTACGCCAAGCCGTTCTCTCAAATTAGCTGGGACAAAAACCCAGTTTTTTCTCCATAAGAATAACATGGGATGGGAATTCAAAGGCCACTGGGGCAGAACCCCAAGGGAATTTACCACGTTTCTCTTTTGATGGCTCATCTACAGACCAAGACCTTTCTTTAGACACCTCTACCGAGTTTCTACGCCCAGCATTTCTCCCAATTTAGCTATGACAAAGAAAAACAGTTTCAAATTAATATATAGATGTTTTTCCATAATTTTAGGTATAGACATTTTTAAGAAACAGGTCAAATTTAATTACTAGATAATCCCTGGAGTTTCTCCTTGGAAACGATATGATTTGAAGGGAGAAGGATCATTAATTTATTTTTTACTTAGAAACCTGGAGAAGAGCCTGGATAGTTTCCAGCCGGATATCCTGGTCTACAACGCTGGCACGGATGTCCTGGCGGGGGACAGCCTGGGCCTGCTCTCTGTGTCAGCTCATGTAATTTATTTACATTTTATTAATAACTTTGACTATAGATACACTCCTGTGAAGTTGTCAATATATTGCCATTTCAGCTTTACATTAAAAAGATGTAAATATCTGCTACTATGCAATCTATTTAATTGCAGTTGCAACTAGTTTTGGCTCCTATGTGGGGCCTAATCAGGTGGTACAAGGACGTTTTCATTCTTTATATAAAGAGCGTTATATTTTTCACATAAAAATGACGATATTTCAAGATTCCTGTTTAAAACAACAATAGTGTTTTCCAGAATTTTTTAGACCCGCCCATCCAACCTTCCGATATAAAAAAATATTCTTTTCGGAGATGAAAAATATGTTTTTAAAGTTTATACCGGTACTAATGGCAATAACTTCTGATCATTATTCTTGTGCACCTATTATAAATAATCATACAGAAGAATGCACGTGCCATCCCTTACAATAGAAAAATTGGAAAACAAATTATTGTTCCGTTGTTATTGATATTCTTCCCTCAAAAAATAATATACTGTTATTTAGTTTCAGTAAACAATGATCTTAAAAATCACAACAAATAGTGTAACTGCTGTATTGTCAGTTGACTTTTAAAATCATTGAACCTTTATAAACATGTTTTTCAGTGAAACAGCAATTTTTAAACCACAAAAACAGAGTACATTTTAGCGAATTTCCCATATAGGGAATAAGCTATTACCGTAGTACTCATGGTAAGACCTGGACGCGGGACCAATTTTTTTGTTTGTTTTGAGGTCCCTAGAGGCCAAAAACACCATCCGTTCAAATTCATATATATATATATATATATATATATATTTATATATATATATGTGTCCGTTAGCACGATAACTCGAGCAAAATTGATCCGATTTTGATGAAATTTGGTACAAACGTGTAAACCTACGTTTATTCGAACGAGTTCACGATCCAGCATGATGGGACCATGGGAACGGGGGTTTACGGGGGGTTTTATGGGGTAAAAATAGGTTTTTCCCATTTTTGACCCAAAAAACATAAAATTTAGCAATTTCTTTCCAAACCATTTTGTAGAGCTTAAAAAAACAAATAATTTAGTATACTGAAGCGTTATTATGCGCCTAATAGTTACGGAGAAAATTCCAAAAAATTGTAAATTTAAAATTCCCATGTTATTCTTATGGAGAATAAGTAAACTGTTGTAGTTTGTTTATGAACATATTTTGATCAAATTTGGAAAATGTTTTTATTTCTTACTAACTATTAACATTTTACAAAAAAAAAGTTTTACCCTCCCTGATGCAGCAAACCTAAGTACTTGTTAAACTAATTCTATTTAAATCGGGAATAACTGTTATATATTTTTAACTAGACATTTCAGTGTAAATCAAATCTGTCAAATGGAAATTCGCTTAGTCTGCAGGTTTGCTGCGGCGGGGGTATTTATCTTTTCAACAAATCTAGTAAATACTTATAGCTGATGTTTATATTAATTTGAATTTTAGTATAACCAGCTGTTTCTACACACGGGCTTCACCCCGTTTGACTTAATAAGTATTAATAAAACTATGGATTGGTTAAGTTAAGCTGAAATAAACAAAACAGAATACAGTAATACGAACAATTAATCACATTGTAATCTATACTTATTTAATACCTAAACAGGTTTTTTGTGACAATTACTCCTCCGAAACTACTGAACCAATTGACATGTTTTTGGTGTCATTGGAAAGAGCGTAATGTGAAGTTGTGCAGGAAACTTTCTTTTTAGGGAAATATTTAGGGAGTTATTTCCTGGGGCCATTTAAAGTTTTGTATTTCTACACAAGATTAACATGGGAAAAAACATTGTTATGCAACTCCAGCTGTTGTCAGAAATTAAAAGTGAGAAGAACATATGTTAATTGTAAACATTATATAAATATTTTACACAACCATGTGGTAGGTTTATTTATATAATTGATTATGGAAATAAAGTAAAATTCAAAATTTTAAAACCATAAGTTATGAAAATTATGTTATTGATATATTTTAATGTAAACAGTAGGGCAATTACAATGTAGGTCATACTTTTTTGTAAAATTTGGTGGCTCTTTGTTTACAAATTTGATCTACTTAACAAGTGTTTGGATTAGGCAGTATGGGCGTATGGTACATCTTCCCGTTGGGAAGCACGGGCACAGCAGCTAGTAAGGTAATAAATTGAAAGAATAAAACATACAAATAAGTACAGCTGAGGTGGCAGCCAATCACAAGACAAGGCTAGTGCGACGTTGCCACATCGCCCATTGACAACACTAATTAAAATATACAAAGCAAATACTGTAAGAAATATTTTCAAATCAGCTGGTATTATTAGATTTGGCAACACCGCATCGTTCTCATTGGTTCATTCAAAACCATATGGTAAATAGGCTCCTCCATCAACTGCTAACTTATGTGGTCCCGACTGTAGTTATATGGAAAGTTCCCTTTGGAAAGGAATTACAACTTTAACGGGCAATTTATGTAATAATGGATGGTTTAGTGCAAGGTTTCTTGTCATGACGATCATTTTAAGTATATGGTTTATGGGGGTGTAGTTTTCTCAAAAGTTCATGGGTACTTTGGGATTTATATGTGGATTTCAATGTATTCATCTATTCAAATGTAAACAAACATTTTCTCCATAAGGATAACATGGGAACTTTGAATGCCACTGTGGCAGAGCCCTGATGGAATTTCAAAGATTTTTTGATAGATGACAAATGGCAAATCTACGTGCCACAACCTATCCAACGACACCTTAAACTTGGTGATTGGATGCATAGTAGCTTCAAAACAATTATCACAAAATTTGTGTTCACCTATTAAATATATATATATAAATAGATAATATTAGTCATTGTAGATTTGAACCTATTCAACAATGTTTTTTGCATGCTTTTCTGTATCAAGCAAATTGTGGAAGAAGAAATAAATAAATTTATAATAATCTATATTCTGATTTCAGGGAATCATAGAGCGAGATGAGATGGTTTTCAAGAAGGCAAGAGAACGCAAGATTCCGATCGTGATGCTCACTAGTGGAGGCTACCTCAAGAAGACAGCTCGCATCATTGGTGATTCCATTCTCAATCTTCATGAGCATAGTCTCATATCACTGACTGATAAATCCCTATAGCAGATCTCTTGAATCATTTATTCATGTCCTAAAAAGTATGTAATCATTGTAAACTCTTAACATCGGTTTGTTCAAGCTACAGAATAAATTTACTGGTTTAAGTAGGTAGTAAGAACATTTTAAATTATAGCCAATAGTTGCGTCCCTTCTTGGAGTACCAATTTACCACCATTGGCATAAATGGACTAAGTTACAGAAAACTAGTTCTATAATAATGTTTACCATCCAAAATAAAGAGAAATTCTTCAGCACATGATTTACTTAATAGTTTCTGTATTTCTAGGAATTTTCCCAGGGCTGCTTAAATGGGCCCATGGATGCTAAAGGTGAGAAACATCATTCCCCCGCAAGTAGGGGGGGGGGGGGACAATTATCTCTTGGGCCCTTAGCGTGCAAACTACGGCTTTGAGATTTCCATTTTATAAAAGATACACTATGTATGCAACAAAAATATATTGCAGGCAAATTAAAAAGTCACTGGAAAGTCAAGGATTCATATTTAATGGTTCAGTAGACACACCATGTTTTTTTTCAACTATGATATAAAAAAAAATTACCTTCTAATATCTGTTACCCAGAAGTTATAAGCTTGTATAAATTGATGTTTTTGACAGTTTTTTCATACAAAGAATATACAGTTGTTACATCTAAAAGTTCCTTCCTTTTCTCCTCATCACCTACTCTACTTTAAGTATTCTGTTTTGTTATGGTATTTTTTTTAATTTCTGCATTTTAAATTTTTCATTTGGCCACCAAGTTTGGTCTTAATGAAAATTAATCTAACAGCCCCTGTGGGAACTTGCCAAAATTCTAATAATTCCAGACTGAATTTTTAACATTTGCATTTAACTTTTTATAAGATATATGACATATCTTGTATACATTGCCAATTATACATTGGATTAATATCCTAAACCAACGCAGTATGCTTTATAACATAGCATCCGATATACTTATCAAGTACAGTAGACCCACTCTTAACCGACCTCGCATTACCCGAAAATCGAATTATCCGCCCCTGCTCTTAAAATTGTAACGGGTCAAATATGTAGGGGGTAAAATAACAGCTAAACCACAAAACTTAAACAGCTGAATGTAAGCTGCTGTTGTGCCCTAGTCGCGACGCTAAACTGACATCGCACCTAACCTCAAATTCCAAGATCGCAGACGACGTTGGTGTCAGTTTGGTTGTTTGGCTGTTCGACTGCGTCTGAGGGCGGGCTACGGGAGAAAAGAGGAGCAGCGGGCCACCTTTTAAACGGTACGCGGCTGTAAGCATGTTGAAGCTTTTATGCGCCTGCCTTCGCCAGCACGGGACTCAGCTGACTCTGTTTGTGCCGACCAATCAGGGAGCGTTTTAACCTTCGTCTCGATTCTGAGACGAAGGTGAAGAGGAGAAGAATAAGAATTGTGAAAGGATGGTCTGTCATTGGTATTCCCGGCTTTTCGCGAGTTCGTTCGTTCGTCTTGAATTTTAAGTGATTTCGTTCAATTTCTTCGTTGTTTTTAAAGTTACGTTTCGGCAAGCTCTGAAAGCTTAAGTTCGAATAGTTTTGTAGTGAATAGTTGGGTTATAATTTCGTCGACTGGTGAGTTGCGTAGTTGCTTAACTTCTTTGGTTTTCGTATATTGCTTGACCAGTTTTCGTGTACGAAACTTGGTTGAACTTGAAGGCTAGGCCTGATACGCAGACCTAGTCATACGCCTTAACCAACTAATTTGGTAAAGTATTGCAGTTGGTGAAAATTATTTTCGATTAACGTTTCATAATCCATATTTGGGACTTTCTTTTTAATTCTTAAAACCCTTTGTAAAGTTCCCAAACGTCCCAAAGTTTGTCCCAGCAGACAGGTTTCTGCTGGACAATTTCTGTCGAAGTTGGTTTAAGTTGAACACGTGAGGAAGTTAAAGTTTTAGTTTTTCGTTATCAGCTCCAGGAGCGGTTTTATTTTTAGTTTCAGTTATCTCTCGTTTCGTGTCTCACTTGTACAATTTAAGCCAACTTGTTTTCTTGTTTTAGTAAATTCGGACTCTGTGGGAGGTAGGCTAGGTTAGGCCTATCTTGTACTAACCTTGTTTGTTTCAGGTTAACGACTTAACTCCGTAGGTAAGCGGAGTGGCTACTTAGCTTACTTGTTGATTCGTTAAGTTAGCTAGTAGTGTGTCATTTAGATATTTGCCCACAGAGTCAAGTCAAAATTATTAATTTCCCCACAAGCCCTAGGCTAGAGTGGTGATTTCTAGTTGGGTGTTTGGGTAACCCGCAACGTTCGTCTTGAGCTCTGACAACCAGGGCTATCAAATCTAGGCTATCCGAATTACTATCGACTCCTGGGAAACTCCCCGCGACCAGACTAGGGCGAATCCTGGGATCTTCGTTTCATTACCGGTGGCGTAATTTCCCACTTGTCGTCCGCCAGGAAAATTACGTCACAAAATATTACAGTTGGTTTTGACCGACCTTGTTTTGAGATCAGTTTGGCTTAACCACTGCCTTCTAGGAATCTGCATTTCCGCAACAACGATTTGCAATGGGAACAATACGCTTAACTCTACAGGATGTTACTGTACCTATGCTTCTTAGAACAGGGCATAGAAACTAATGAAGCCAGGAAAAAAGTGGATGAGAGGAAGGTATCAGCAGCGCAGGACAAACTGGCACCTAGAAAGGGAAAAGGGGACACAAGTAAAGCTCAACGATTCCCACTTTTGAAACCCCACACCAAACGGTCAATTTTGTACTGTGCAGTGGTTTTTGGTGCAATTTTTTGGGGTTTTCAGCTGCCCAATAGCGGCAGGTTTGCTTATTGACATCAAATGAAAGTGCGCTTCATCACTCATCATTAACAAAACGCAATCAGTGGCAAGAACATCAAGCATTCTTTTACAAAACAGTCTCCACTGTTAGTAATCACGTTCATAAATCTTCTGTACAATCAGATTTGGTAAGGATGAAATTTAAACTCATCCTCAGGATGCGCTGCAGCGAGCGTCTGGACAATTTGAGCACGCCGCCTAGTGGAGCGGCGAGGACGTTGAATAACAGATGCCCTTACTCTGTCAACATTTTGTGGAGTTAGCGACGTGCGAGGACAACCAGACGACTTCTGCTTCATAATTGATCCACTTGTAAGAAGAGGCAACCCAACGAAGAATTGTGTTGCGATCAGGTATCAAACCATTTTGTGGAACATTGAACTATATGCAGAAAAGTCTTAAAATACAGATTCATTGCTTTTGAAAAAAAATGTTCAACTACGAAGAGGCGGTTAAATTTGGAACAATCTTGTTTTTTTTTCGTCAGTCTGCTCTATTCATTGTGCGAAGGTAGAGTGTAGTGACGTCAATTATTTTACCCCTACATTTCTTTTAAATTACAAAAAAAAAAAAAAAGGATATTGAAACCATTGAGATATTATGGAGGTAAATAGAGATTGTATTGGATATGCTATACATTAACAAATAAATTCTTCCTCTTTGTGGTTTGATAGTTACTTTATAATCACCACGAGTCTTTCCTCTGCGCATATTGATTTCCTCCAATTAGTATTCTGCTTCACCGAGTGTGCTTCAAGTTTGAAAGGATGTAATCATAGGTTGACGAGGTAGACATACGCATGTACTGCAAAAATCGTGATTCATGCCTCTTAAGAACTGGAAACAATGGTGATATACACCATGCACCTCCCTTCCCTCATTCACTACTCCAGCTGGTTTGATCACGCAAAATGAATGTTTTTAACTATGTATTTTCAATGTACAAAAAATTGTGTGCAAACTTACTATGTGGCATCTTGGAACTGAGCCTGGGCAAGCTCTCTGTGCCGCTGCGTGTGTGCAACATAAGCCGCTACAGCTCACTTGGATTGCCCTGCCCACTCCGCACTCAGTCGCTGTATGTGTGTTTTCACCCCAAGGTATCACTAATCCAATAATTGTTTAACAAAATAAAAGTAAGAATGAATAAAGAACACTTCAGATAAAAGAGGCTATCTATTTACACGTTTTATTTATGATACATTTACAAATTGGTTTAAAAACTTTAATGGTTTTATGCTATCTCTGCAGACTGAAGTCCAGGGGCAAACTCTGAAGGTCCAGGAACTCTTGCTTGATTCTGAAATTGATCAAATGCTTTATTGAAATCAATATATTTCTACCTATCTTACTACATTGTAGAAATGAAATGAAAATAAATTAATAAAACAAGTCAACCCTTTCTATACATCAGGAAAGACAGCTTAAATGACATTCCCACATTTGAAAACAAAAGATTGTGAACCTGTATCCAACAAGTAATTTACATATTACATTTTTAAGAATACTCCAGCAGTCCTCTCAATGAGTGATAATGTTTAAATTGAAGCCGATCCTGAAGAGCTTCGTTTCGCTCCGCTCAAATAACATTATCTCCAATTTGAACTTACCAGTTTCATTGCTCTCTCTTCAAGTATGTTGTACGCAAAGTGGTTAAGCTGAAAAAGCAATTAGACAGCTTTAGTCTGTAGCATTGAACAAGTGAATTAAAAATATCAGGAAACTTGCTAGGGATAAAACTAGCAAAAAACCTTTTTTAATTACCGTATAAAAATGATATTTTAGTTTTATCGAACAAACTAAATTTTTAGGCTTGAATATTGAAAAAAAAATTGACATGATATCCTAACATTGAAACAGTAGCTAAAAAATTACAAACAGCTTGTTTCCAGGTGTATGTTTTAAGAAATATAATTGATTCTACTATCATTATCACTACCATTATTAGTATTATGATTACTACTATTATTATTATTGAAAATGTTATGTTTTTAGGGTCTAAAATGGGAAAAACCTATTTTCACCCCATAAACCCTTGGTCCCATAGTCTAATCATGCTGATCGTTCGAATAAATGTAGGTTTACATGTTTGTACCAAATTTCATAAAAATCTGATTATTGTTGCTCAAGTTATCACCCTAATGGACACACACATTTATATATAATAGAACAGAGGGTTGTTTTGGCCTCAGGAGCTCAAAACGAAAAAGTAAATCGGTCCTAGGCCAAAGTCTTACCAAGAGACCTACGGTAATAGCTTATTACCTATATGGGAAATTTGCTAAAACATGGACAATTGATTAATTTATATTTTTTAACCTTACTCGGATATTACATCAGTCAAATGGGCTCTATAGACCAAATTAAATGGTGTCTCAACATCTTAAACATTTCATGAAGTTGTATGAAGTTGCATGAAGTTGTAGTGTTAAAACATGTTTTTGCTTCACTACTGTGAAATGACCTGTTTTCGTTATATGTTTATCACCTGCAAAAATTCTTCATTATGTTGCTTACTGCACAAAAAGAATGTTTACTATGCAAAAGTAATGTTTACTATCTTTTTTGGATTTCGCCGATGTAAATAAACAAATATTTGCTATTCAACTGTTTCAACTGCAACTGTTGTCTCAACTGTTGCAAAACTGTACAATGAATGTAAATATTAAATTTAAATTGAATATATGACCTAAAAATTCCTATGACTTTAGTAATGTTTCTAATTTAAAAAAAGAAAAGTCTGTCTGTTTTAATTAGGAAAAAATTATATTTGTAGTGTAGCGAAAAGTAACGTTCAAAACACGAGTAAATACTGTATACATATTCTCGACCATATTTAAAGTGCTCGATAAATTTAAAACATATGGTCTCAAATATGTAATGACTCACTTTCTACTCTTGTTATGAAATGTACTATTACAACTGTCATTAGTAAAAAACTCACTGAGGAGAACATTTTATTTAATCAATACTGGTATAAAGAAGGGCTACTAAGGTAGTATTTTAGGAATACTTACTCTAAACTCAGCTGGAATCGAAACTCCTTGAAATCTGAACATTTGACCAAGTTCACTCTCAAGTTTATGTACCTGTAAACATAAGTATGATTTTAACTTTCCAAGAAATGCAGTGTGAATGAAAACATTTTGAAACCGCATCAGCTGTTTAATATTTACTCAAATTGATTAGTTGATATGCGCCAGATTAATTTCTCAAGTTACAGCAATTTTCCAAAAAATTTTTAGCTACGATTTAATATACAGGGTGTTGAAAATGTCTGGAACCAACATTATATCTGGTGAGTGGTTAAAGAAAAACAACTGATATTTTGTATACGGATATACTATGGTTTTACCTATCTTTTGGTGCCTTATGACATTTTTTACCACTTATAGGGAACGTCCCGTAGAGGATGCAGTAAAAAGTTTTAATGGAAGCCTATGGTAAATGATACATCATTTTAAAGGCGATTTTTTTCTGAGTAAGGAGCCACAAGTTTCATCTCAAAAGGACCACCCTAGCAAAAATGGCGACTGTTTGAAATTTTAAAACCCACTTATAGGGAACGTCCTGTGGAGGATGCAGTAAAAAGTTTTAATGGAAGCCTATGGTAAATGATACATCATTTTAAAGGCGATTTTTTTCTGAGTAAGGAGCCACAAGTTTCATCTCAAAAGGACCACCCTAGCAAAAATGGCGACTGTTTGAAATTTAAAATTCAATTATTTTCAAAAACTTCAAACAGTCACCATTTTCGCTAGGGTGGTCCTTTTGAGATGAAACTTGTGGCTCCGTACTCAGAATAAAATGGCCTTTAAAACGATGTATCATTTACCATAGCCTTCCATTAAAACTTTTTACTGCATCCTCCACAGGACGTTCCCTATAAGTGGTAAAAAATGTCATAAGGCACCAAAAGATAGGTAAAACCATAGTATATCCGTACACAAAATATCAGTTGTATTTCTTTAACCACTCACCAGATATAATGCTGGTTCCAGACATTTTCAACACCCTGTATAACCTGTGTTACTAAACCAAAACACAAAAAATTTCTTCATGTTAAAATAATCACAAACCCCGAACCAAAGAAGGGTGTACATATTATGTATACTAAAAATAGGCTTTACCTTTGACAATCCAGCTCAAAAGATGTAACTACCTTGGTTACGGCCGTTTCGGCATTACAATGCCATCGTCAGACAACGAAATCTCGGCTGAAGTAGCTACGTTGAAGTTAAAACACATAACACCCACGAACAATATGAATAACATTTAAACATTTTACAAAAACGATCAGGCCTGTCGTACTAACTGCAACGGTTCAATATATTGAATAAGAGAATTGTTCCCGTTCCGAGCAAAGCCGACTGCAATTAGCTTTTTTCTCAGAACTGGAACAATTCTCGTCACAACCAATAACAGTTCAAAACCACTTCATATGATTATTTTTGCTAGAGTTATCATGCTAATGGACACATATCTAAATCTATAAAACAGGAGGTATGTATGTATATATATATATATATGTAAATACTCTATGGAGTCTGTAACCGTTTGATAGATTGTAATGAAACGTTCAGGCATTATTAAGCATTATTCTTCAAGGATGGTTTGTGTGAAGTTTGGTGCAGAGCTGTTGAAAGGACTTCTCCCAAGGGGCTTTTAAGGGGTCCAATGTCAAACATTTTGTGCCGATTTCAAATCCAAAGGCTTAAAATCCACGCCAAGGCAACGGAGAAGTCAGTCTAACCATGACCTAACGCGGATTGATATGAGAGCGAAGGGCCGAGAACTGGGCCGTGCGCAAAGTCACTCGTCACTCGTAGTAGCGACGTGAAGAACGAAGGTTGCGTTGTCACCGGTGTAGGACAATTTTATTAATATCTTATTCGTAGCTCGGAAATTCGCGTTCGGGTGAAAATTGTATGTGCATCATATGATCGCAACTGTCAAAATTTTGCCAAACTGCAATTGGGGGTGTGTTTTACTAGTTTTAAGTCGAGTCGTTTGAGATTGCCAGACTGATTGTTGCGTTCGTGAGGAGATTCGTACATGCATCAAATCGATAGCAAATTATAGTTTCTTAGCGAGTCGTAAATTGTCGTGGCGGTATTTTCAATTGAATCAATAACGCCAGCTCGAAAAACATTTATAAGTCCTACACTGGAAACAACCGTTGTCGTGAAATTTCGCTCGGTCAGACAAATGCTACGAGTCAGTTTTTAAATGTTTCGTCCGTGTGTGAATTGCCATCTGTATGAGTGTTAAATGTGTCGACATGTGTACATAAGTGAATGTTTTGTGTTGTTTGTGTTTTAGAAATAGTTTAGTACTGCCAATCTGCTGTTTTTCACATGCATGGTCCATTTTTACAGTCAGAAAAATCATGTCACAGTTGGTCTGAATATTTCATGTTTCACTTGGTATGATTAAAGCACATGGCCACAAATTCAGAATTAAATGATTTATTAAATTTGACACATTGCATTAAGAGGTTAGTTTGTGATAGAAATTCTGGTCAATTGAATATAAACTAGGGATGGACGAGATTGGATTTTTAGTTCGAGACGAGACAAGACAATATTTTTTATTTCTCATAAAATTTCGAGACGAGATCGAGACGGGCTTTCCCTTCTCATACACAACGGGAAATGCACGTTCAAAATTTTTACCTGATTTTGTAACATTGTTAGATGACTGTTTAAATACAAAAATAATGACAATAGGCAAGAATATTTACAATCTTTTATTAAAAAACATCAGCATAAAATTTTTTTATTAATCACGCCTAACTTATTAACCCTCCGAGTGTCACGTGTTTTGGCCTTAATGTCAGCCTATTTTTTGCTCATTTGCAAGGTTTTATTAAAACTGATCTGAGAAGCTTAAAAACAATGTTAATTATACTGTTCTATATACCATTTTGTTTGGAAAATCATGGGCTTCAATATTATATATAAAACATAAGGAACATTTTTAAAAAAAAAAAATCTTTATGTAAAAAAAAATATAATTTGGAAAATTTTCAAAAAAAAAATAAGTTCGCGCTCAATGAAATTGTATAAATTATAGGCCTATAAATATTTGAAAATAGCCACTTTGTTCTAAATTTTATGAGGATTACAAATATATAATCATATAGTGAGGTAAGTTATGAAATAAAAAAGTTATGAGTGAAAAACATGTTTTGCGCGTTTGAAAGAAAATACCGAAATCGCCAAATGACTCAACACCTTTCATAAAAACACATATTGAACCAACCAGAGTATTTCATGTTGTATGAAATTTTATTTACAGTTAGTACAAAATCAGCCTACTAGTAAATGAGAAAAATACAGCATGGTTTTACCTTGATTGGGGCCAGAATCCTTTGCCGAACTTGAAGAATTCGTTTGCTGAACTTGATAAATTACAAAGTATCCAAAATATATTTACAAAAAGTCACAAAAGTTAGACAAAAAACTTGCAAAGTTGTTGCTGTCAATAGTTTTCAACACTTGTAAATAAAAACTAAACACTTATGAAAAGAAATATTATATACAGAAGAATTAACACATGGGCCTAATCAGAGTCCTCACCGCTACTTTGGTCTAGGGTCACTTTGGCCCTTTTTCTGCCCCTCTTTAGCCTCAAAAAGTGCTGCATTTTGTGGAAGCATTCTCGGTGAACACCCACATTACAACCGGGGCACCAAAATCTAGACCTGCCTCTAGTTTTGGTGTGACCACAAACGATACACTTTCTTTCTTGTCTTTGAGGCAGTTTTTCAAGTCGGTGGTCACCGCAATCTCCGTGGGGTCCAGGAACTGGTCCAGGTAAGGCATCGCAGGTTGCTTGGCCTACGAGGGATTCTACAATAGATATGTGGAAATCTCTTCTTGATACAGGTTTGTCAGTGTTCTCTCTGTACAGAATGTAAGCATTTACGAGCGCAATATCAATAAAATTGAAGAACAGCTTCTTCCAGTACTTAGAAGTGGTGCGGTTGCAAGACATATGGTACACAGATTTATCGCTTACATCCACACCACCCATAAACTGGTTGTAATGGTGTATCAAAACCGGTTTCATACCTCTCAGTCCCTTTTTACTTGTAACAATTTGATCTTCCGCATGGTATGCTGTAGAAATCAAATACACAATTTTCCTACTCAGTTTCTGACGGTAACCAACCAATAACAGATTTCCCTTTCTAAAGTATACTGTTTCCCTTTCTCCTAAGTTATAGTTTTTAATTCTTTTTGATAAAAATTTTGACTTTTTGTTTATGGTTCCGGTGATGAATGTTTGTCGTTCAAGAAGGTGTTCAGCCAATGGGATTTTCGTGTAGAAATTGTCGGTAAAGACATGATATCCTTTGTCAAACAATGAAGATTTTTCAACCAAGTTCTTTACTACCCTCTCAGTAAATAACTCTTCATCATAATTAGCTTCAGCAAGGTAGTCACGTCCACTGTATAGTTCCATGTGCATAACATAATTGGTGGCACTATCGCAAAGTTCGAACTTCTTAATTCCGTATTGTTTGTGTTTCTTATTTGGCATATATTGAATAAATATGCATCGGTTCTTTGTTCCTACTACACTTTCGTCGATGGAGAGTTCCTGATTTGGTACAAAGTGTTTTTTGAAACTTGAATTCAGATGATCTAACAACCACCTTACTTTTATCCAATGGTCATGTCCAGGCTGACCCCTCTCAACAGCGCGGGCCGATGTCAAATGCAAGAAACTGCTTATGAGTAAAAACCTATTTATCGCCATGGTGTTTGAATAAAATGCTATATGTTCTGTTTTTCTAGTGTCCCAATATGATTTGATGTTTTTTCTAACTGTCATTCCCATATTGATAAGAATAGCAAAAAACTTTTTCATTTCCTGTATGGAAACATTGGTCCATTTTTTGAGCCTAGACTGTGGACTCAAATTATCTCTCTTTTCATCTAATGTTCTTTGAGCATAGGCATTTGTCTCTCTAGTTATGAGATTCCAAAAGGCAGCTGTCAAAAATAGGTTCAAATAATTGATAGGGGAAGAATTTCTGGGGGGTAAATCTTTGGGTCCTGTAGCCCTAACTTGAAACTGAGGTCTGACATCTTTCGGAGGTTCGGGGGGATACACCCTAATCCAAGGTTCTATGTTTTGCTGTACTGGTATTAGCCTAGGCCTACCTGCATTAGGGTCTTGTTCATTTTCAATTTCAAGATTTTCGTCAATATCTGACGTCTCTAAATCGTTCAAATCGGGCACATACTCCTCTCCACTCCCTGACGAAAAGTCTAGCAAAGATAGTTCAGAATCTGAATGATAATTAACTTCTATGTCACTACTAACTTCATCCGGATCGTCAATAAGTCCTTCACCATCACTAATTTCATCTTGTAGTGCATTACGTATATCACTACTGTCCATTTTCACCACTAAAAACGACGATAAACGTACAAAAACACACAAGTCACCGATGCGAAATATCCAAGTTGTCTAAAACACGAACGTCAGCTGTCTACTACATTAGGATCGGCTCAGATAACCTAGCGCTGAGACAGACATTTGGAGAAAGCTTAGAATATAATGGAAAGAACGATAGGTACCTAACTCAATCCAGTACAGTCCGATTCAGTTAGTCATAGAGCCTTCGCCGTAAACAGTGTTCGCGAGTCGCTGCAGCGACGCACGACACTATACAAAGTGCGTTACGCGTCGCTGCAGCGACGCATGACACTCGGAGGGTTAAAAATGCCTACGATTAGGAAACATAGTGATATCAGTTAGGATAGAGTTCAACTTATCCTAAAATAAAATAAATCATAAAATAAAAGCAATATTAATTTTTTATAAAATAGTTACTTGTTTTGACTTTTTATAGTAATAAAACATTCCTCACACGATAATGTTCTCAAATGTTATTAAAGTAATATTATTAAAATAATTAAAATTAAAGTAATATTTACATTTAAAGAATTAATTAAATAAGAACGCCTTCGCAAAGGAAACGCAACTACAACACGCTCCTGTATTGCGGGTATTGCATTGACTTTCTGCAGGCGTTTTTAATTTTTTTTTTTTTTTTTTTATTCTCATCTCGATAAAAATCTCGGCCAAAAAGAAATCTCGTCTCATGTAACGAGATTTAAAATTTCCCGAAAATTTCCCGAAATTTCGAGACTTGACCATCCCTAATATAAACTTATTAAATTGAATTAAAAAAGCCATTTAATTTAAGTGTAATGATTATCTGTGATGTAGTATTAATTTTTATGTTCTATGTAAGGGTTTATTTTTACGATCATCAGTATAATTATTTATAGCATTTTGTATTTCATATTTTGTAGTAATTTCTGGACAGAGTAACACATTTCAAAAGTGAGAGTTTTTGATTGTGCAGAGTAAATTAATGGGCAACAAAGCACTGTCTCGGTAGAAGGCTAGGGAGTTAGGCTATAAAGGCTTACGAGGATAGACTCCCATTAGATTCACAAAAATCAATTTTAAATTAAATACCATATAATCGGCTCAGAAGTCTACAGGGTTAGGCAAAAGTCTGGAACCCCCCCAGTTAACTTTTTAACGCGTTGCAGTAGGAAAACAAAACTCGGCACATATTTACAACATAAGAAATTGCACTTTTTCATCAAAGTTACAACTTTGCCCCAGCCCCCAAAATGGGGTATTTTGGGGGCAGCCCCAAATTTTCAAACTTAAACACCTATCATGTGACCCCTCATTTTAAAGGGTTTATCAATAGAAATTGAATGGCGCAAACCAGAGGGCAATATCGCACCCCTAACCAAAATGGCAGCCATTTTAATTATTTAAGATGAGCAAGCAAGATAAAAGCACCCCCAGTTAACTTTAAAAATTTCATATTTTGATACTGGCCAAAAGGTGAATTCTCTTTTTTTATAAAGGTATGCTGAGTTTAGTTTTCCTGCTATAATCTGTTAAAAATTTAATAGGGTATATTTCAAAATGACTGCCATTTTGATTAGGGATGCGATATTGCCCTCTGGTTTGCGCCATTCAATTTCTATTGATAAACCCTTTAAAATGAGGGGTCACATGATAGGTGTTTACATTTGAAAATTTGAGGCTGCCCCCAAAATACCCCATTTTGGGGGCTGAGGCAAAGTTGTAACTTTGATGAAAAAGTACAATTTCTTATGTTGTACATATGTGCCGAGTTTGGATTTCCTACTGCAACACGTTAAAAATTTAACTGGGGGGTTCCAGACTTTTGCCTAACCCTGTATAATGTAAAGTAACTATAATGTTTACAAATAAATATTATTTAAAAACAGATGTTTACTTTTACCATCTGTTTTGTAGTTTTGAATAATCACAGCATTCTTTATTAGTCATGATTTGAAAAAGTGCCACACTGTTACCACAGAATGCAGCACCGAAAACTATCTTACTTTTAAATACGTCCAAATATATTAAACCCTAATTGCAGCACACCTGTGCATTCAGCAACGGTTAAATCCTCCACTATTAACGATGCAGATCCGTCAAAAGGGTTTTGTTTTAAGTTAGAGTGTTGCTCAGGGAATTTCAAATCAATATTTTTGTGTGACATATTTTCATGTGAACCAGCTAAACGCATGCCTAAAAATCTTACTTATGGTACAGTGTTGAAAAAAATACTCTTCCAACGAACATGCGTGTATATTTACTGAAAGTAACAGTTGCAAAAACATTCTTTAAATAACTATTGGACATTGGGAATGGCAAAATTGAAATAGACCAAACCAAAAAAGAGATTTTGTTTTCTTCAAACTTCTGTAAACTGCAACCAAATATCCAATCTGTTGTAGAAAATGCATTCCCAGACTGAAAGGGGTCACCACCTAATGTCAAAATCGTAATTCAATACAATGTGCTACCAATAATCATGGTGGACATAGTTCATAATTTGATGCTAGGTAGCAGCACGGTACAGACAATGAATCCTTTTGACTCCCGTAGCAAGTTTTTGACTAGTGCAATGGAATGACAACCAACCAGAGGCGAGATCTGGGTGACACACCTATGTTGTAGATTCTAGATTTTCTTTGTAACTAGTAAAGCAGCAGATTGCATAAGATCGATCGATTGGGGCTATGCATAACAGACAGCCCTGAGCCAAAAAAACAGACAACAACAAAAGGAATGTGACATATGTTATACTGTATATAGCTTTGACCGTTGATAAAACTAGACATCCCATCACCATGTGTTGTCACCAGTTTTTTTCAAAATCGTCGTATTTGATGAGAGCCAACGATAATCTGTGCATAATCTGTGCGATAATCTGTAAATGACAGATTTCTGTCAAATACACAAACTGCTTTATCAAGTCAAACTACTTACAGTGAGCCATATCAACTGTTATGACCCATTAAATATGTCACCAGCAACAAAAAACAATGTATACATTGCAATGGTCAAATTGTGTTAGGGGTATTTTTTAAAAATTTATATGCACGAACGATGCGAGCGCGTCGGTTACGTCACGACGGCAACAATGATCTACTTGGCCAGTGCCTTACATAGTTTGAGACTCGGCTGTGCCACCTCGGAGTGCTGCCGTAGCGGTGGTGGGGAGTAGCCGAGACCGGTGGACAGTAGAGGATTATTAAGTCAGTCTGCAGCGAGCGAGAGGTTCGCGCACACCAAGCACCCTTGGGCTGTGTGTCGAATCCTTCTAACGTATCCAGACAAAGGTATGCGGAACACCTATTCGTCAATCGAGTATACTTAAATATTGTAAAACGTAAGTACAATGTATAGCTAGCGTATGTGTTGTATCCCTCCTCGTATTCACTTTGGCGAGTGAAATTACATTATTATTTATTAGGCTATTTTAGGTCGTTAAGAACTAAGATTATCGTAGTTTACCGGCCGACACTGCGAGTGTAGTGTCGCAGTAGCCTTCTACGTTTTGTTTTATTTCATATGAAGTGTTTTTATTTCTTTTCCTTAGGGGCAAGAAGTGCATTGGCATATAAGCCCAGACTTATTTTATTTAATTATCGCGAGTTAGTGACATTTCTGTTACGAGAAGATTATTTTTAGTTTTATTTGAGGAGTGATTTCTTTTGTTAAGCCTAGGAGCTGGCTCTCTACTTTAGTTCCCAGTCTACTTTGCCTTTTTATTCATAGGCGCATATTAGTTAGAATCAACCTGTTCATTGTCAATGCGTCTCTGTGCTGACATCGCGTTATAGTGGCAATTAGTGTTCGGTGCGTCGATGTGCCGACGTACACAGGGTGTACTCGTGTACTGGTAGATTGACGCAATAGCAAATTTACGAGGGCCGAGAAGCGGTAGCGAGCGACGGAGACTGTTAGCGTGAGAACCCTGGACTACTCGAGCTGTCCGAGCGAACGGAGGTAAGTTTAGGCTAGGTGACCCTACCCGAACTAAACACCTCACAACATCTGAGTTCTAGACTCTAGTGCATTCTGGAACTGGCTCACAAAACTACATCCTTTTTAAATAAATAAAAGAAATACGGCGTCAGCTGGTCCATATAAAAGGGATACCTCGGTATCCAATAGTCAAAGGTTATAGTGATAAATTCTGTTCTTTTAAAATTGTTTCTATTGATTGTGTCTATCTCAGTGAAAAATTATTTTCTTCCAATATTGATAAATCTGCTGTATATACGTACAGCAGTGATGGTTGCTCGACCAATCTGCTTCGTGTTGTTGATCATCGGCCCTCGACTGATGTCCACGTGATCTCCAACTCTGTACAGTGTGATTTTGTTGCCTACAAACACAACGGTAAATTAAAGCAACTCTTGCTAGATGTCTGTACGACAGCAGATTCAGTCCTATGCATTCACCAGTGCAGGCTCATTATTTGTCATATAATTTAAGAAGTGTATTTTTTATTTATCATAAAAATTTTTACTGTTATTCCTGTTATTGTAACTAGCGTTATTAAGAAGTCTTAAAAAAAGAGTCTTTGAACAAAATCAAATTATGAAATTGAACAGTTATATTCTTAATATTAGTACATCATGTCTAACTTAGAGTATTTGCATTATAAAATGTTAGTAGGCTAATAATTGTATTTCAGTATTTTGCGTTTTCTTTTAAATGTTTTCACCATAGTAGACATATTTCTTTTACTTCTTTGACATATATGTATATATATTTTTATTCTTTTTTGCAAGATAATAATACTAATATTTTTTCTGTTCTCTTTTACACAACAACCATTAGACTAAAAAAGGTTTAATTCATTAATTATTTTTTATAAACTTTTCAGAGGAATTTTATTGTTCTTGTAAGTTTTAATTGAGACTACCACCCACACATAAAAGTGTTGTTTACAGTCTTATGATTCAAAATAATAGTTGAGCAAGAATAAGACAAAATACCCCCACAAATAGAATATTTATCTGGTTGGATTTTCACTAAAATATTCCCTTAAAATTGTCTGATTATTTATTTCTTATTTATTAACTTCAATTTTAATGAATACTTAATGTTAAGTGTTCACACAATGGTAGGCCTGATAAATTAATTAAAGAAGTGGCCTTGAAATAATTATTTGTTTATAAAATGGAAATCAACTTTTACTCCTTGGCCTGTATTGTCAATTTAATTCAATTCAATTTATTTATTTTACGACAAAAACAATTATAAAACAAATACCTTACATACAAAGATGCAAAGCTATACAATCGGTAATAGTAAAAAAAATCAATATGCGTTTGAAACATAATAAATAATAATTAATAGCACATGCATAGCAAATAACAAGTGGGTCACGGCTTCATGAACAAATAATGAGAGAAAGGCTTTACCTGGACTGTTCATTGCGATGTCAGGTATTTGTGAGGATTTGAAGGGGTTGTAGCTGAATATCTCCAGAGCTACCTCCGGATCTACATCAAGACGGTGAAAGGGCAGATGTTGTCGACAGAGCTTGCTGAACTCCGCAGACAAGATACGCAGCTCGTCTTTGCTTGGCGTCCAATCATCCAAAGACAGTTGAACGTCATATACAAAACTGCCACTCTTCACTATAAAGAAATTGAAATTTTAACATTTTATTTTAAAGACTTATTACTTGCTCACAGAGTTTTTCATAAAAATGAAGAACAATAAATAAAGTATAGAAAGCATAGAAGGACATAGGGACAGAATAAGCATAGATAAAACTTAATTGTGTTGGTTAGGGTGAAAACATAGTGGAGCGGGAGGCTAGAGCGTAGTGGAGTGGGTTTTAAATAATACATGTAATGTCAATGTTGTAGTGGCGGCAAAACATATTGGAGCTGGTACCCGCGCCAACACGCTAGCCTCTCCGTTCCGATATTCTACGCCTATTTCTTTTAGTCTCTTGTTTGTTTGTACAAACAATACTTTCTCCATATGCTATGATGTATAGGGGGAGAAAATAAAAGTTAAAGTGCTGCACCCTGTTGGTAAGCCTTATAAGTTTTTAATGCTATTGAATGTCATGGAACCAACTTGTTTAGTTGAAACAGCTGACAAAATTCTTTAATTTCTTTTAAATATGACTACTATTAAGGTTAACATAAGAAACTAAAGAGCCACTGAAGCAGAGGCGGAAATTATTTGTGAGATAAGAATAGGTAGGCCTGCATGTTATTCGGGAATGTGAGTTATCATCATGCCAAATTTCAGCCCAATCCGACCAGTAGTTAATGCGTGATTGAACAAACAAACACACTAACTCAGTGGCGTAGCGACAGTGGAGCGAGTGGAGCAGTCGCTCCAGGGCGGCAAGCACTAGGGGGCAGCACCAGGCTAGGATTTTTTTTTTACAACACAACACCAATACAATAAGACACAACAACTAAACCACAATTATTATGAGATCACTGATCAGTCAAATAAGTGAACACTGTATTGATTCGTGATTTTATGTTTATTGTGCCGCAAGCGCCAGTATTCGAGTTGTTACTTTATTAATATACCACTGTTTCTTTAGAAGTGTTGTTTAGTGCTGCTAATGAACTTTGAATTCGGATAAAAATATTTCTACAAAGTATGCGGGTGGTAAGTTTTAAACAGAGAAGTTGAGTTAAAGTTGCTAGGCCCGCCAAAACCCGATTTAGTTATTACACAAAGTCAAAAAACCTGTAGGATAAAAAAAAAGTAGGAAAGGATTTATGTTTGTACTGTTCAACTATGCCTTAAACGGGCATCATCTTCTAACTAAGAAAGTGCTTAAACTTCACTGACATCTCGCCATTTGTAAATTCGTGCGTCCTTTGCTCAGTTCCCCCTGTTTACGTGCACTTGGTAAAGCTATTCTGTTTTGAGGAGATTTCTAAATAAGGATAAGTTCCGGCCAATGAATTTAATTTATATTCATGTTTTTATTTTCAAACACCCTAATCAAAATAGGTTAAATATAATAAATCCAATAAAAATACCAAATATTTTTTTTTATTATTATGTCTAGATTGCATAAAAACGCTAGTTTACAGTTATTATTTTATAATTTTTTCCCCGGACGCCCCAGTAGTGGGGCGTGGCTTGGGCCATTCCTGCTCCAAATTTTGCTACACCACTGCACAACTTTCACATTTATAATATTAGTATGATAAAAGTTGCTATAGCTCACAATAAATAATGCCATTAGTTTGACTTGGTGAAACAGTTGGTGTATTTGACAGAAGTTAGAAATTTGGATCAGCACAGTCGGTGGCTCACATAAAAAAACTGGCTACAAATTTAACATGGGGATGGAATGTCCAGTTGTATTTATAGTCAAAGATAATACTAATGACAAAGAATAGTGGGTTTAACAGAAAGCGATGTTCAATATTAAATGTTTAGGAAATAGGCCTACATGGGCTCGAAGCCTGTGGGTAGGCTTAGTTGCTATCAGTGACTTAAAAATCAATCTCTTAAAAATAATAAAAAAAGTAATAGTAATTTGTAAAGAAGGTACCGGAAATGATTATGAAGATAAATCAGTGAAATGAGCAATTTGAGGGAATGAGGCAAGGTGAAGGGCATGGACATAAATATAGTGAAGTATGCTCAATAGTTAGTAATCAAGTAATGATTAAAATTATTAAAGATTATTCTACTGTTATTATGACAGCTGATCATAGTTACTATAGCATATCTTTTCACTAAACGCCTTTGGCTGTGACCGAGTCTAGTAGTCTAGGCCTACTTGTGACAGCCGGAAGCAGACTGTCGTCTGCCTGCAGCGATGTGAAACACTTGTACAGTACAGTACAGTTTTGTACTACAGTACTACACCGCCACCCAATGGTGCATCGGACTACCGAGCGTAACGGACTAGTAAATGTCGATGTGGATTATTGAGAGCCAACTGTAAATTGCATGCTTCCATGAATCTTAACCACTAGGCTACCTACATATGGTGTTCAATTTTAACGTCAAGCTAATGGAAAAAATAATTTGTCAGTTTGCTGATGCCTCCCCTACCTAACACGTACTTTATTGCTAAGTGCCACCTTGGCCAGACTTGACATTTTATCTAAGTCTGCATGACAAGAATAATACAAACCTGTATATTACAACCAATCAGTGAGATGATTACTGACCATTGGGAGATGGGAAGCTGTGCAGGTTACAGTGGATGCTATCTTTGAAGCATGTTTCTGCGAGGGCTCCCAGTAAGAAGGAACACGACCGCCAATATGCCTTGTTGCAGTGGTGAGGATCGGAGTCTACAAAGTTCAAGAACTGCAATGTACAATCAGAGTCCAGGGGCCGATGCATGTCCCAGAGTCTTTGACCATCCACTAGTCCCAGCACAGACTTGTGTGCTATGAACTCATTTATATCTGCAACATCCACATTGACTCAACAACTGAAATATACAATCAGAGTAAAGGGGCCGATGCATGTCCCAGAGTCTCTGACTATCCACTAGTCCCAGCCAGACTTGTGTGCTATGAACTCATTTATCTCTGGTGTCGCCGAGACTGCAAGATAGGCTCCTACCAATATCTGACCTATTGGCTGTACTGATGATGGCCCAATCCCGTCATGGTCGGATATGTTGGTACAACTGTATAATGTATTTTGCACGATGACTTTCAATGTTTGCAGGGAGGCTTGGGCCATACTGCTCCCTGGAGCTCTAAACCTGGCTATACCACTAGACAACACAATTATTAGAGACTTGCCATATTCAAATCAAATCAAATATGCTTTATTCATAAAGTACAGTGTTGTACATTGAATGGTGTCAACTAAATCTATCTTAAATTAATAATTTACAGATTTGCATATCTTGGATCATTATCTAAATCAAAAACCAAGAACCAGGAAATGAAAATAATCAAAACTGAATCAATTACAGTTCTGTCTGAATTTAAAATTATTGTATATAATATTTGGTTTACCATTTTTGGTTTGCCCAAGTTTCAATTCCATGTAAACTATGAAGAAATGGATAAGAATTTAAGAATATAATAATATAAAATTGTGTGCCAATGTCAAACTAATGAATCAGAGGATTTATTCAATGCTGTTTGAAGAACAGAACAGCTTCATGGAAACTAAAACTGACTAGCTTGGAATACTCTGTGTGCAGACGGATTTGATTGTCAGTTGTCAGTTCCAAGTACCAACAGTAGTTCAAGTCAGAACATGCTCAATCACAACACAACTCGTGAGCCCAAAATCATTTCAATTAGAAAGCAATTAAATGATTACTTGACTATTAATTCAGAATACACATAATTAGTTCGTAACAGTTATTTATAAATATGTTCCATGCAATCTTAAACGTGTGAACTGTTCAGTTAATGCAATCAAAATACAGCATGCATAACCTAGTCTTTGCAGAAATGTGAGTAATTACTCTTTAAATTAAATAATAAGTTAAATGTATCGATTGAATGTGTAGTATAACTCACACTTCATTTTATTTGTACTGAGGGCTTTAAAAACAACAATAAACTGATTATAACTGTAAAAACTTGAACTGACTAGCAGACAGACTACACCAATAATTATATAGCAGACGACTTCATATATAATATAATGCTGTATTAAAAATAAGAATACTAGACATCTTACACTAAAAAAATTATGGAACAGATTAGGCTACAATTTAAAACTTACGCAATGCAACATGGTAAGGGGTGGACATTTGTCGGTTCATCGCAAAATATTCATTTTTTGGCACTCCTTCATAGCAGACACTTATTTTTTCAATTCTACCAATGCTTTCTTTTTGCCTTTTAACTTCAGCATTGTATAAGGCATTTCTTTTATTAATACATTCACTCAATGGCAGGGAACTTGATTTTCCTGGAAAAAAAATAATTGTTAGCCCTTTGAGTGCTAGGCTAATAATTGTATTTTGTAATACTTTTTATTTGCCTTTTAATTACATTACCTGTTGTTGAATTATAACTGTTATTGTTCTTACTATTTTATTAGTGAGGCTAAATTGGAATAATAAGACAATACCGGTAACAAATATATATAGTGATGTGGGCCAGGCATATTCCCAGTGGGAGGGAACTTATGAAAATTTTGAACGTTTTAACACATATTGACAGTTACAGAACCTTAAAACTATGTTACTTAAGTAAATTCATACAGTTTAATCCAAGAGTTGTTATTCCATGCAACAATTTCCTGTATAAACAAACAGGGATTTATGAAACCGAATGGATTTTAATCAAGAGGTAATATTTGTCAAGTTGGACTGATCCATCTCGCAGCATTGTGAATTAAGAATTAAGAAGAATTATGATTTGAGAAAATTACAAATATTTACTTCTACATTCCACCGAAGTTTTATGAAAAACTTCTTTATTACAACAGAAGAAAATTATTTAAGGGTGTTTGGTCAAAAATTTGATGTCTTATTTTTTGTTATTGTTCAATTGTACTAAAAATTGGAGATACAAATATATAAGACAACATTTTCTATTTTGAATATTACGCGAGATATGGAGCTTAAAAGTAGTAAATTTTTCATCTTTGTTACCAATTCACAGGGAGAATGGGTAATGTGATTCTCACCAAAATTGGCATTCAGGTGTGGAAAAATAAGATAATAATCACTAGCTAATTAAAAATTTTCTTTTATAATTTTTTTTTTAATTTTGAAAATAGGCCTAGCTGTTTGTTTTGGGGGAAAATGTATCTGTATATTGAAATTAAAAAAAATGTGATAGCCTATGTTAAGTCGTTTGGGTTGTGAATTCGTACCTTTGATGCCTTGCGCTGTTGGAACACTACTTGTTGAGAGTGTGTACACTAACACCGGGGCATTAGAATACAACGATAAACGTATTCTTTCAATCTTAAAATATGTTAATAATTACGTGATGTAAAGTATTCTACAAGCCCGGTGTTAGTGTACAAAATTATATTAAATTATTTATTTTATTAGATTATTTATTTATTAGATTATTATTTAAATTATTAAATTTAACAAAACCTGTCTCAGACATGATTTAACACCGAACTATGTCCAGATAATTCGTTTTATATGTTCGTGTGCGCGTTTGTGCTGTATGTCGTGAACTGTTATTTGTTATAACCCAACGACGTCCATTGGACTGAAGACTCAAAACTGGCCCGCCTGATGATGGTACAATTTCGTGCTGAAACCTAGGTCGCAACAGCCGACTTATTTGAACTGGTGACTGAAGGTATTTAAAACCATTATATTAGTTACTATAACCAGTTCAGGGGCAATCCCACATCTTATGATGTTGAAATTATGAAATGCTAGTCAAGCAAAAATTGCCAGCCAGTACGAGAACATCAAGTTGAAACTTGCATATACAGTTCACAATATTAAATTTAACAAAACCTGTCTCAGACATGATTTAACACCGAACTATGTCCAGATAACTCGTTATATGTTTTTGTGTGCGTGTTTGTGCTGTATGTCGTGAAAACTGTTATTTGTTTTAACCCAACCATCATCAGGCGGGCCAGTTTTGAGTCTTCAGTCCAATGGACGTCATTGGGTTAAAACAAATAACAGTTCACAACATACAGCACAAACACACACACGAACACATATAACGAATTATCTGGACATAGTTCGGTGTTAAATCATGTCTGAGACAGGTTTTGTTAAATTTAATATTGTGAACTGAATATGCAAGTTTCAACTTGATATTCTCGTACTGGCTGGCAATTTTTGCTTGACTAGCATTTAATAATTTCGACATCATAAGATGTGGGATTGCCCCTAAACTGGTTACAGTAACTAATATAATGGCGAGCTACTTTAGGCCACAGGTTTTGTTTGAATTTAGGACGTCTTAAAAGTAAGAGAAAGTCTAGCTGACTACGGAGAAAAGGAAGGCTTATTCTCAAGAAAGTTTCTTTGGAAGGGATGGACGCACTTGACTTTTATGAAAACATATATTTAACGGCCTTGCCATACCAGTTTTATTTAGTCCTAGGCGTTTCCTCTGCAATATATCACAAAGGTTTTCCATGTTTCGTACTAAAATTGGTAGCACTTCGGCTATATCCTCGTTCATCGTTTGTAGGAATCTTCATCTTGTTGGCGTTTTTCATTATAGGCTAAGAACAATACTGAATTCTTTAAAAACTTTATCCCCATTTCTTCTATTTGGTGGCATTCTATGACTTTTCTATGTTTCAATTGTTTGAAAATCGGTTCATTCAAGGATTGCTCAAGAAATATGGCACTGTGTCAATTCATTTATCTTATTTGGTGAAATATATCAAATTGTCCAAGCTTTTTGATTTTTTTATTATAATATGTACGCAAACCCAAATTCAAATATTAAATATTTAATTTAAACCAACTCAGTGTTTATATGCTTTTCCTTGAATTGCAAAATTAAATACTAGGTGGCGTTTGCAGAGGCACCCACAAAATTGAGCGGAGTCATTAGGGTTATTATATTTTTATCCACCTTCTCCACCGAGCTTCATAATTATTTTCACCTACAATTTTAAGTGAAGACAACATTTGTGTAGAGATAAATATTAGGTAATTAGATTGACTAAACATAGTTTTGCATTGAAGGGGTGTAAAAACACAGAGATATCATTTTAGGCCCTTTCGGAGACCTGCATTTAGATTTTACGTTTAAAACCTCTGGGTTAGTCATAAAGTTGTTCCCAAACAAGGCAGTACAGTTCCAGCTGTACCCTAGAAATCAACCCATACAGTTTCGGATTCTACCATTTTTGCTACTTACAACTGCATAAAAGGACTACATGTGATGGTGATTATACTAGGTGGCGTTCGCAGAGGCATCCACAAAATTGAGCGGAGTCATCAAGGGTTCATATTATGTTGTTTTTGTCATACTGCAGTAAAAACAGTCGTCATTGGTGCATGCGTTGCGGGTCTAAAGTAGCATTTTTATTCTTTAGGGAATACAATTCGTTTAAGCCCCTATGGAGTAAAACTCAGCTGTAGAGCTGTTGTCAACTCAGTTGTAAATTTCTATTGTAAACGATTGAATACGTATCGAAATATGTAACGATTCGTCCTTCATAATCATTTTAACCTTCAGTCTACAGTCTCTTCCCATAGCATTTTAGAATTGCAGATACATTAATCCATTCCCACACTTAACACTGCCCACCATTATTACTTACTTCCTTCACCACCCCCTACGTCGTGGAGCTGTTTCCCTCTCTTCCCATAGCATTTTAGGATTGCAGATACATTAATGTAATTGCCTAAGACAGTTTCCACACTCTGCACTGCAAGCCTTACTACTTCCTTCACCATTTCCTACGTCATAGACCTGTTTCCTTCCCTTCTCATAGCATTTAAGTATTAGATACATTTATCTAACTGCCCAAACGGTTCCCTCACTCTGCAATGCCAGCCTTTACTACTTCCTTCACCACTTCCTACGTCGTGGGGCCTGTTTCCTTCCCTTCTCATAGCATTTTAGGATTGAAGATACATTAATCTAACTGCCACAGACCGTTCTCACAATATGTTAATACTTTACTAATTCCTAGGCCACTTCCTACATCGTGGACCTGTTTTCATCACTTTCCATAGCATTTTAGTATTTTAGATACGTTAATCTAATTGCCACAAACATTGCCCACACTCCGCACTGCTAGCCTTTACTACTTCTTTCACCATTTTCTATGTCGTGGGCATGCTTCCATCCCTTCTCATAGCATTACAGCATTGCAGATACATTAATCTAACTGCTACCAGTTCCAAACTCCACACTGCTCACCTTACTTCTTCCTTCACCTCTTCTCACGTCGCAGACCTGTTTCCCTCTCTTCCCATAGCATTTTAAGATTGTAGATACCAAGATCCTTAATCTAATCGTCACAAACAGTTCCCACCCTCTGAAAAACTCGCCTTTACTGCTTCCTTCATCACTTCCTAAGTCACGGACCTGTTTACCTCCCTTCCCTTAGCATTATTGGAATGCAAATACCTTAATCTATTGGTCATAAACAGATCCCACACTCCAGGCAGCTCGTCTTGACTACTTTCTTCACCACTTTGTACATCGCGGACCCGTTTTCCTCCCGTCCCATAGCATTTTAGGATTGTAGATACCTTAACCGAATAGTCATAAACAGTTTCCACACTCCGGACAGCTCGCCTTGACTATTTCCTTCACCACTTCCTACGTCGCGGACCCGTTTTCCTCCCTTCCCATAGAATTTTAGGAATGCAGATACCTTAATCTAATCGTCATAAACAGTTCCCACACTCCGGGCAGATCGCCTTGACTACTTCCTTCACCACTTCCTACGTCTCGGACCCGTTTTCCTCTCTTCCCATAGAATTTTAGGAATGCAGATACCTACCTAAATCTAATCGTCTTAAACATTTTATACACTCCAGACTGCTCACCTTTACTACTTCCTTCACCACTTCCTATGTCACGGACCTCAAGCTGGTGTCTTCATTTGATTATATTTATGATCCATACCACCGTTTATGTTCTAATATCTGTGAAATAATGCTATCAGCTATTTATTTATCTACTGCATTCAAAAGTCAACAGCTGATCATATGTCTTTGTTTTTGTGTCAAATACTGCTTCCATAAGGATTACATTGAAACTTTGAGACCCAGTGGGGCGGATTCCTGAGAGACTTTTTTAACGCCATATAGATGTTGGCACTCACCGATATGGTCTTTATCACCATGCAAAATTTGAAAACGATTGATTCAGCCGTCTAGGAGGAGTTTGCGTATTACGAAATGCATAAAAGTCGACGTATAAGAGCTTCGCTCGCTCCGCTCAATAAGTGAAAACGCGAAATATATATAACTCTCTTAAATCTGAGTCCTTCATAACTACTAA